GAGAATAGACTACTGCAACGCGCTCTACATGGTGTTGAAGACTGTTTGGAAGCTTCAAGTAGTCCAACAGATAGCAGCCAGATTTCTCACTGGGGCTGGGTACAGGGAGCGTACAATTCCTCTGTTATGTCGGCTCCATTGGCTGCCAGTCTGCTACCAAGCACAATTTAAAGTGCTATAAATCCTTAAACGGTTCTAGCCCAGTTTACCTGTCTGAATATATCTCCCTCTAGGAGCCCTCTAGGAGGTTAAGATCATCTGGGGAGGCCCTGCTCTTACTCCCGTCTCCTTCGCAGCTGCATTTGGTGGGGACAAGAGACAGGGCCTTCTCAGTGGTGGCCTCTTGACTATGGAACTCCCTCCCTAATGAAATCAGATCAGCTCTTCTCTCCTGACCGTCAAGAAAAATCTAAAGACATGGATGCAGGATCAAGCATTCAGTCAGTAATCTCACTATATAATATGGCACTTCAATAACAATTTGGAATGGCCATGGATTATGATTATGGATAACGTGATTTTAATAAGTATTTTAAGGTTTGATTTGTTTTTAGTGACTGTTTTAATGTATATGCTTATTTTAATGTATATGCTTATTTTACTGTATGTATGTTTACATATGGGCTGCCGATAGGGCTGCCGATCTGCTACCGGGCCCAATTTAAGGTGCTGGTTTTGGCCTACAAAGCCCTAAACGGTTCCGGCCCAAAATACCTTTCAGACCGCATCTTGGCCTATGAGCCCACGAGGACCTTGAGATCGTCTGGGGAGGCCCTTCTCTCGATCCCGCCTGCCTCACAGGCACGCCTGGCGGGGACGAGAGAGAGGGCCTTCTCAGTGGTGGCCCCCCGGCTGTGGAACACTCTCCCTGTAGACATCAGACAGGCGCCCTCCCTTATGTCTTTCCGTAAAAGCCTAAAGACATGGCTGTTTGAGAAGGCATTTAATTAAGTGCTATAATAATGTGGTAAAGACGACTGGAATGGAATAAGGAATATGAGATTGGTTACAATTCTACTATGAGACGGAGCGGATTTTTTAGTGTAATTATATAATTGTTGTATTGTGGATATGTTGTTTGTAATTGCCTTTTGTAAATTGCCTTTTATATGTTGTACACCGCCATGAGTCGCCCTAAAAGGGCTGAGAATGGCGGTCAACAAATGCACCAAATAAATAAATAAAATAAATAAATACATATATCAAATTGTTGCCTGTATATGTAAGCCACCTTGAGTCTCCTATGGGGTTGTGAAAGGCAGGGTACAAATATGGTGAATACATAAACAAATAAATAAAAATTTAAATGCCTGGGTGGGGAAATAGTGGTGCCAAGGAGTGACCCTCAACATAAATATCCATAATTTTGGGAAGGACACAATCCTCTGGGATAGAAACTTTCTTATATTGAAGTTCATTCCAGAGCTCTGGCGTTACTATTCAAAAAGTACTATTGAAAAAGGCACTTTCTGGTTACTCACCTAAATTCCCTAAGAATATTGAGTAGCTTAAGATGGCTTTACTGCCCAGTTATTACTGCACTTCAGTTAGAAGTAACTCAATTATTTTAAAATATCAAGGTTAAAGCATACCCATGATATGATTTACCCTTGATAAAGCATATAAATTGACTGCTCTCAGATAGTTACTTTGACTTGACTATGACTTGACTGATTCAGATAGTTACTTTGGTCCAGTTCAGCTGGCAAAGAGTAGGAGGTGCACTTTCTTCCAGCCTTGTGTGTAATAATAAGGTAGAGGGATACAAAGAGAGTTTGTTTTATTCAAAAATTCTGTTAGTGTCCTTCATAGGCTGAATTATACAGTGTGTTTTGAAATCAGTATTTGTCAGGCTAACTGAGGGCAAATTTGTGGAAATGTACTTGGAAGCTTGGCTCCTCCCAGTTTGACTCTTTGTGGTCTTTTAGCCAGGATAAGATGATAGACAAAAGTGTGTGTGTGTGTGTTTAAGGCAATATCCATATCTGAGAACAGTATTGTTGGGAGGACTGTCCAAACATATTGCAATAAAAGGTATTGTTTTTTTCCTGTAGTAATACTTCATTCTAATAATATAGCATTTTCCTTTAAAGTGACAACATAGTTGTGTTTATGTTCTGAAATTGCCTAGCAGGGCAATATTGCTCCTATAGAAAAGAAGTGTAGTCCACAAATTAGTGACTTTTGACTGCATAATAAAGGATAAACTTAAGCATTTGTAAGCTTTTCATATCTTTGAGCTTGCATTAACTCACAATTTAAGCATGTGATGGCTTATGCTTTGGACAGAACTTTTGTTTTGGGATTGTTTTCGCACTGACAGGTAGCAATTTTGTTTTTGAGCCTAGATAGGAAAGGAGAATCTGCTGACCGAATGCTCCTCTTGGCACAGAGTCAAGAATACTTTGGCATTTGCTTACCAGTCCTAAGTAAATATTTTATCTCAGGATATAATAGGAAAATAGAAGAGACTTTAGAACATGTTTTCCTAGTAGAGAAACATTGTGAGAGTGCAAAATTCTTTTTTATTGTAAAAGTGATGAAGATAGACAGGTCAAGAGTAGAAAAATGGAAAGTGGATATACAGAATTGAGTATCTTACATGTGCAGCTTTTGTTTAAAGTGAACAATCTTTAACAGTGAAATACAGTTTGTACAAATTTAGGCCTAAATCCAATTGCAAATCCCAACTTGTGAAAACCCATTGAATCACTTGAATGTCAAGTCAGAACTAGAAAATTCCATACCTTTGGTGGATCTACTATTACTTGGAACTAGCAAATAGATTTAGAGCACTCTCAGCACTACACACCCTGTTCTAAGAATTGTAATGGAACTGGTAGAGGACATGCGTCATGAATAAGCAGGTAAATTTTGTAAATCTATTTGTCTTCTTCTAAAGCTGTGATGAATCTGTGAATATCTTGAATAGTTGTTTGGAGTGGGCTGAATAATATGAGAATAGTGTGGAGCATGTTTACATATTGTAAATTACATATTCTCGATAAAGTAGAGGTAGTGTTGGTAGGAGTTGTATGAGACCAAAAAGTTAGACTTTTACCTATGTTGGGGGAATTGTATTCTTCACTTTGCCCAGCCTTTTAAGTGATGATTCTTTGGTAAATTTTGGTAACTGATGTATAAAAGTGGAGCAATTTTTAACAACTTTGGTTAGAACAGCAACTCTGCTACTTCTGGGGAAAAGATCATGGCAGTCTATATGATGCCAATCAGACTTAGCTATATTAGATCACCATTGAAACTCAGCAGAGAGTTGTAACAGTAAAAAGCACTCCTCTAGTAGACCTTCAGTTGTAATTAAACATTACATGTATGTGCGTATACCAGGCCCGTAGCCAGGAATTTCATTCAGGGGGTGCTGAGTTTGATTCAAAGGGGGGGGGGGGTAAGTTTGATTCAAAGGGGGGGAGCTGAGGATCTACCCTAGCAAACCTTTTGTATCGTTATCCCAATAGCCCCATGCATATGGGATACATTGAGCATGGTGATCAGATCATGATATGAATAAACTTAACAGTTTAAATAATGTACCAGTAAGGCCTTCTCGCGGACCACCCTGAGAATTGGGGGGGGGGGCTGAAGCCCCCCCCCCTACATGCCTGCTGTATACACACACAAACACACAGGATCCAGCCTAGCTAAAGGATAGCATTTTCTGATGTGATCCTACCAGGGTTTCAAGATCTTCAGAGGAGAGCTGTGTTTTGTTTTTTTTTTGTTTTTTTTGGTGAATGAGCCACCCTCTTGGGCTCATTTGGAGAGGACAAGATAGTTATTTCCATGTTGTGGAACTTCCTTTCAAAGGAACAAAACTGGCCTGCTTTCTATTATTCTTTTTCCGACAGACACGTTTTTTAAAATACAGGCCGTCTTTTGCCACTTGAAGTAAGGGATTTTCAGTGGGAGGGACTTGTCTTTCCCACCTCCTGCATCTGTTATCTGTTTTTATTTCAGTTATCTTCATATTATCTTTTTAAATGTGTTTTTAGTTGTATCTGGTTTATAACCAGATGTTGTGAGTTGATTTGAGTCCAAATCCTAGGAGAATGGAAGGATCCAAAACAAATACATATATGTTAATGTCACTGTAAACATGCATCAGTATTTGGGACCAGACTTTGTACCAGATCGTCTTCTCACATGAGAGCCAGTGTACTGTAATTGCTGGAGTGGCCCAAGATTTTGCATCATAGGCTGCACAACAATCCATCTTGCCTGGTGTCCTGTTATGTGGCGGAGTCCCCATTCAAGATGCACAATAGGACATCTTGAATGGGGCCCTGTTGTGCATCAATTCAGTTCTCAGTGCTGTAGCTCCAGCATCATAACATTATATATTGAAGCTCAAGTTTTAGAATCTTGGCCATAGGTTTTAAGATAATATACATTTATTTACCTTACTTATATACCGCTGTTCTCAGCCCGAAGGCGACTCACAGCGGTTCACAACAAATACGAACAGCAAAAATTCAGTGCTACAGTATAGAAACAGTTAACAACCTAACACATTACACAATTAATAAACAGTTACTACAATACCCATTCACTGTCGTCTCGTCATCAAAAACATGTTCCAGATTCGTCATCCATTGTTCCATTCCAGTGTTCATTAACCAATCATTGCACTAATTATTGGAACGCCTGCTCAAACAGCCAGGTCTTCACTTTTTTGCGGAATACCATTAGAGATGGTGCTAGTCTAATGTCCGTAGGAAGGGATTTATACATGGATATACATGGATTTATGGGAGATACACACACACACGCATACATACATATTGTAGATCAAGTTGTTTGAACTTACTATTGAATGTTATTACATTTTGTTGTATTGTAATATTTTTGTTGTTTGCCATGGATCTATGCTAAAGGTAGAAAAAATTGCTGTCATTGATTTCAACCAAGTCAATGAAAATCTTAATTATGGATTTAAAAAAAGAGTTAACAAAAAGAAACTCATCATTAGCAATTTGTTTCAGGTGAAGAGAAATGGCTTATCCCAGACCATCAGCCAAGAAGAAAGAAAAAGACAAGAGGTAAACAAACCTATTCTTAGCTCATTTATTAGAATAAGCTTTTTATACACTTGCTTTCAGGGATGCCAGGCTCAATAATTCTGGTTTTCCTCTTTTCTCTTTAATATCTCTGAACCAAATTATAATAGAGTTCTGTCTTTTTATTCAGATTTCCTGGGGTTATGAGGCTAGTTTAGATGAAAGGTTGATTATCCTCAGAGAGGAGGTATATTCTTGGTAAATAGAGAAGTGCCTAATGAGACAGCCAGATAAAAAGGATCTGCTGGCTCCTTTGAGTCTTTTCCCTAGCTCATATAAATGCATGAAATGCCTGGTATCAGAAATAACAAGGTATGAAGAAGTAACCACCTCCAATTTCTGCAATTTCCATTTTTCCTTTGGAGCCAGTTGCATTTATGTTACATGTGTTCAGGTATGGAAGTGACTGTAAGACAGCAACAGTGGACTGGATCCATAGTAACCCTTCTTTGAAAGGAAAAGAGTTGCAAATGAATTGACTACCCAGTGGAGGGCAGCTGTTCATAACAGTGATAGGGAAGGTAATTTTTTTGCTGATTTTCCCTCTAGCCTCTTCACATGTTATTATAAATGCAGGGATATGAGAGAAACTTCCCACAAGGATGGTTAAACATCAAAACATCTGGGCATCCCTTGGGCAACATCTTTGCAGATGGCCAGTCCTCTCACACCTGAAGTGACTTGCAGTTTCTCAAGTTGCTCCTGACACAAGGAAAAAAAATTGAAGATCCTTTGATAATTCAGAGTAAACATTCCATGCACTATATTAATATGAGCATCTGTATGGAGTAGAAGAAGTGCTGAAAATCACCTCTTCCCTTTGTTGAAAGTTCCACTTATGAGAACTCTGGATTCAACTTGATATTTTTATAACATGAGGAGTGACCCTAAAAGTCTCCTGTTTTCTCCTCCTCAGTCCTCTAGGGGCTTCTGCTGTACTCTTGATGAATGTGGATAATCTCTTCCAGCTCATTTGGGTTTGAACAGCACCTGAGGAGAGCTCTCCCTCAGATCAGTCCTTCCAATTCAGTGAAAGACCATAAAGAAGGATCAAGTCAGGCTTTTGAGTGTAAGTCAAGTCATATACAGCATGCTTGGTAAATAGAGAAGTACCTAATGATAAAAAGTGCCCAGATAAAAAGGATCTGCTGTGTCCTTTGAGGCTATTCTTTAGTTCACAGGAGGAGGAGATACAAGTTGACTAGTCAGTATAGGAAATTCCATGAGGAAAATTCACATTACCAAACATGTTAGGAGAGACTGTGACCCATCGACTATATGGTTGCACTTCAGTAATCTATGTAGCTGTCAAGGGAAGAGCTGGAGGTTGTCTGAGACAAAGTAGAATGAGGTCATATAAAGCTGGACTCCAGCTTAACTGGGAAGGAATGTTGGATGGAGTAAATACAAGATTTGCAAAACGTATCCTGGGATAAAAATGGGCAAGGAAACTCTCTTGAAAAGTGTTTGGATGAGTAATGATGGGAACAATTTGGCATTTGAAAGAAACTGAGAAAAGGCTAGGATGTGAGATATTGTTTGCCAGTAGCACAAAGAGGTTTTAGTGGATGAATACTATAAAACTGGTTTCTCCCAAGATAGAACACATTCCAGTGAGAAACCGAGGCACTCTCACGCTAAACCTGTAAAATTCCTTTAATGCTCAGTTCTCTAAAGAATGAAAAGAAGACATGGCTAGCAGTTAGATGAGTGATTTGTTTAAAGAACAGAGACAGCCTTAACATTCATTTTAAAAACAAACAGATTTCAATTTCTGTCAGTTCTAATACAAGAAATTGGGAGGAAAAGACATAATGGCCCACCTCTGGCAATATCTCTTATTTCACAATTTATTAATTTCATGCGCTAAATAATATATTGCTGAGGGAAAAATAAACTAGCTAGTGTAAACATTAAAGTTTTTAATAATCTTCTTAAAATTATCTTTTAAAACCATTATCAAATTCTGTTTTTAATGTGTCTGCTTTTCCCAGGGCCATATGCAAATCTTCAGTAACATTGCATCTCTAAAGAGTTTCACCAAGTATTTGTAAGCTATCTAAGCTTCAGACATCTGTTTGCATTTATGCCATGCAAATGAACTGCATTTCACACTGTCACTCATGGGACTATCACTTGTCTTGAGTGAGAAAAAGTAATTGACAAATATGTTACCATTCTTCATCTCCAGTTAGTATCATTGGATTATATATGAGCTCAAATATCTCTTATTTTGTTGTTGGGAATCAAACATTTTAAATCTCTTTGAAAACTAGTTTTCATTTTATGTTGATCTCCTTGCAGATTTATGCAGCCAATCTGCATTACATTTTTATTTTTAGAATGTGTTTGCCTGCCTTGGACTTTCTTAGTTTGGAAGGAATCAATGAGCACTATCATAAAAACTGGGAACAAAGAGTCCTTAATAAATAGTATTGAAGACCAGGACTCCAATGTCCTTTAGCTGAACAAAAATGCATAGATTGGGACAAACAAGTCAGAGAACACTACTCTTCTCTTCAGTTAAATTGTTTTCTCATGCAGCTACTAGGGCAAAAAGAAAAAGAAAATGCACTGTTTGCAGAAATTTGGGATCAAGACACATGAATTAGTAGAATTTTTCCTGCCCCTTCCAGTCATTTCGTGCAAAACATATATCGTTGTATGTATTTCCTCATGGCTTGAGGACATCTTAAGCAAACAAACCAAAACTGTTTATCCAGTTCAGCATTACAGTATAACATGATGCAAACTCCTGCCTAACACAATTTGAAAGATAGTGGCAATAAAAAAGACCACAGGATCCTAACTGGTATGTCAAAACATCCTTCTGTTTCAAACAACAACAAATACAGTGCATGTGTGAGAATTAGATACATTTTAACATTAATGTTATGGAGCTACTTAAAAAGCCTGTAACCAAATATACGTTTGTGTAACAGGATTTATCTACATTGCAGCAGCAATACAGTAGATTGATATAACTTTAGCTGCCGTGGATCAATGCTATGGAATCTTTAGAGTTATAGTTTGGTGAGTCATCAGAGAAAGACCAAGTAGATAGAACTCAATTACAGTGATTCTGTAGCACTGAAGTATAACGGATAAAGTGTTGTCAAACTGCACTAATTCTACAGTGTAGATTCACCGTGAGACAGTCACACATTCTCCTACTCTTAATCTCTTCTCTTATCCTTGGTTCCTCTGTGGTGAATTTTGGATTGTTATAATACTTTGGGCAGGAATCTGTCACCTTGCATTCTGCTTAAATCAGGCTCTACTTTGGTTATTAAACAAGCAGACAGAAGAAGGGACTCATAGTTGGAAAGGATTTGCTAGAGTGAAAAATAAGAAATAGGTTGGGTTGGAAGGCATGTGTGGGAGGCTCTATGTACATTCTAGAGATCTATCCTATTCCTTTTCAGCCATCTGACCTTTTGCAAAAGCATCTGGCACAGCTGCTTCTCAGTTTCCACTGCTTTAAGAAGCCAAATCTTTAAAGTACCCAGAATCTTTCATTCCCTGAAAGACCCTTCTTTGGGGACAGTGGAGGGAGAACTGGGATTGGGTTTATGAGACTTATGAAGTTATTAAACCATAGCTTGCTGTTATATTCAAAACAATGAAACTTGGTTTTAGCACAGCTTGCACACTAGATTTAAGACCAGGATTTGGTTATACAAGTGCAGTCCTCATTTCCAGACCCATAAATTAGTGCTTCTCATGCTGTCTGATGTGGCAGAATGTCCATTACTTTTCCCAGTGTGCCAAACATTGGTTGACAATGACTCAGTGACTGGCGCTTACTCAGAGACCACCACTTTGAGTAGCAATACTGTAAATCATTGTTTATTCAAGATATAAGTGTGCATCTAAACTAATGGCCTACCTATGACTATTTGGTGAGTTTTTGAGATATGTAAGGCTTTGAAACTCATATTTTGCATCAAGATCTACCTTTTAACTACTGGATTGGTGTAGATCTATATCCCATGTTGCAGATCTTTTTTTCTTATCAGGAGCAACTTGCTTCTGGTCTGAGAGAATTGGCCATTGGGAAGGATGTTGCCCAGGGGACACCTGGATGTTTTACCATCTTCTGGGAGTCTTCTCCTAAGTTGTAAATTCTTGAAAGGGCAGAATAAAAGTATGGGTGTATTTTATTACATTTCATGCACCTGCATGTTCATTGATCTTGACTCAATACCATATTATTTAAAAACTTGCATGTGTTGATTGTTAGATTTTGACTGGGATACCTGCTAATTTTGAAATATATTGAATGGTCCCCAAACATGCATTTATGTATCCATTGAATGTGTTCTGAAAACATTAAACCTGAAGTTTTGTAATATGATTTATTGAAAAATGCCCAAAGATGTCTTTTAAGATGGTGATATTTGTGTAGGTTCAAAATGTCTGAGGTGAAGAGATGCTGCTATGTAATACCTTGTCACCTAAAGTCAAAGTAATTTTGCTCTTTCTTCTCCACTTTCCACATGCAGGCTATATTTGAAGTAATATCTTCAGAACATTCATACTTACTTAGCCTGGAGATTTTGATTCGGATGTTTAAAAACTCTAAAGAACTAGCTGCTACAATGACAAAGACAGAAAGCCATCACCTCTTTTCCAATATTGCTGATGTGTGTGAAGCAAGTAAGAAGTAAGTTTTAAAGAGAGATCTATTCCAACCTTTTAGTTAGTTTCATGAAACTTTTATATGGTTTAATGTTTGAGTCATTGGCGAATCATCATTGCTACACTTCCTTAGGTGACATGTGTCATTAGGTTGAAGTTAATGAAACTGGAGTATACAAATGTACTGTGAAACCAAATAATCCATGCATGACAAAGTTTACTGTTTTGTATTTTCCTTATGAAAGAACTTTTTTACAGTTTCAAGTTTTGCACTTTTGTTTATTCTAAAGATACACAGTTTTGTGGTCCTAACTAGATAAATGAAATATGTTCCATGTGGCTATGAACTAAAGAAATGCTGTGTTTCAGAGAAAAGTCATAGATCTGATCCATCTTTGTAATCCAGATTTTGTGTGTGTGTGTCAGGAGCGATTTGAGAAACTGCAAGTCGCTTCTGGTGTGAGAGTATTGGCTGTCTGCAAGGACATTGTTTTGATGTTTTACCATCCTTGTGGGAGGCTTCTCTCATGTTCCTGCATGGGTGCTGGAGTTGACAGTGGGAACTCAACCCACTCTCTCCAGATTTGAATCCAGATGATTCTCCAGAACACTCAACAGTGTGGGGGGACCTGGAAAGTGTGCACACGCTTCCAGATTCCTTGAGTACCCACTGGCTATGCTTGTGGCTTAGAATAGGGGAGGGCTGCATAAGTCCTGTTGGGATTCTCACATTTCTTGTATAGCATGATGGAAGATAATGGATAATGGATTTGTATATGTAGTTGGAGGTTTTGTGAGATTTTTCTTTTGCTTGGTTAAAACACTATTTATTTGTTTAATTTATCAAATATACAAATAGTTACCATACATACATTGACTTCATGCTTTTATAGAGGACAGGTTTGGGGCCAGAATTATGGATTTTGATTTGGATAACACATGGAGAGGGGAAAGGGTCAGTGCCTCCTCAGAAGGACCCTTGGCCACCACCATAGTTTTCATGCGCAGGCATTCAAAAAGACCAAAAGCAGTTTTGCGATGGAGAAAGTAGAGGGGATAGGATACTTTTGGGTTCTCCAGGGATATAGTAAGCTCACACTTTTTGGCACTCTACTCAGGGCCCCACACACTATTAAGTGTTCTGGAGAATCATAAAAAATGGTCTCCTTTTTGATGAAAGTCAAGTTACATCAACCCAAGGATAAGACAACCCAGCTTTTGGGTGGTAAAGTTGTAACTAAAATTTCTTGACTTATACATATAAAGGCAATCCCCAAGTTACAAACAAGATTTATTCTTAAGTTGAATTTATTTGTAACAGGTACATTTTTAAGTGTATATTTTAAGTATATATTTACATACATATACATACACACACATGAATGCTTTGGATAGCATAGGGAAGGGTTAACACCCTTGTGGTGTTTGTTTTCAAAAGATGTTACCTCATTTTATGTCCCTGTGATTGTTGGATTTTGAAAAAAACTTGGCTTGTTGTGGAAACAAGGATTGGTGATAAAGCTTCAGTGGAAGCACCTTTTCCCCATGATGACTTTTTCAGGAGTGAATTTCCCTTCCGAGGGGTAGACTTCTCACACTTTCTGTTTCAACCCGTTCTTAACTATGAGTAATTCATAAGTCAAATGTTTGTAACTTGGGGACTACCTATACAATATAGCCTATCTTTTTCTCAAAGAGGAATCTAAGGTGTTTTGAAATATAGCTTTCCTCTTCTGCAGTGAGAAGAAAGGACAAGACTGCAGATGAATTTCTGCTTTTACGTTGTATGCACATACTGTGTTTCTGGGATGACAGCCTTTAATAACTAATGCCTGCTATTAAATCTCTTTTCAGTCTTATTGATTTCAACAGGACATGTATGATTGGCTGCAGGATTGCTGTTTAAAGCTTTTTTTAAAAAAATGTTTTCCTTTCTTAAGTGGTTACTCCTTGGACTCATATTGTGATTGATATCTTTGCCCCAAGAGATACTTTATGAGATTGCTTTCACAGGGAACATTGTTTATTTGTGACACAGGTCAATTAATAATGGATTTACTGATGCAGAGTTGTAAGTGTTGACAGATAAGTGTTGGCAGACAATGTACAGTAAAATATGAACAGTGTTACAAGATTTGACAGATTTCTTTAATTAAGGCATTTCTGCTTTGGAGTCTGCATTTCTCTTTTGGTTTCTAACCAAGGAAATAGCTTTTTCCAAAATTAGAGATGTGTGGGAACAAGATGTATCCAAGTTGAATGTGTGACATTCAGTGATTTAGTTGTTCCTCACAGCTTAACTGGTGGTTGTGAAATGTTCATATTTGTGGATACTTTTCTTTCAACACAAGTTTGGAGGATAATCTGTAATTCCTTAGATTATGAGCTGTGTCTGTGTTAGTCCCATGAACTTCTAATCTTCCTTGGTCCTCTCTTTCATAGGCAGAAATATACTGGTGAATAACCTTGTTTACGCATCACTCACTCTCTAGGGCAGTGGTTCTCAACCTGTGGGTCCCCAGATGTTTTGGCCTTCAACTCCCAGAAATCCTAACAGCTGGTTAATGAGAGTTGTAGGCCAAAACACCTGGGGACCCACAGGTTGAGAACCACTGCTCTAGGGAGAAAGTTCTACTGATATCAGTGTGGTTTACATTGAAGTAAACTTGCATAGGAGCCCCTGGTGGAGCAGTGGGTTAAACCGCTGAGCTGCTGAACTTGCTGACCAAAAGATCACAGGTTCGTATCTGGGGATTGGCATGAGCTCCCGCTGTTAGGCCCAGCTTCTACCAACCTAGTAGTTTGAAAACATGCAAAAGTGAGTAGATCCATAGGTACCACTCCGGTTGAAAGGTAATGGCGTTCCCTGCAGTCATGCCGGCCACATGACCTTGGAGGTGTCTACAGACAATGCCAGCTCTTCGGCTTAGAAATAGAGATGAGCACCAACCCCCAGAGTCGGACACGACTGGATTTAATGTCAGAGGAAAACTTTTACTAAACTTGCATAGGATGGCTTTATTAGTGTATTTGAAAGATAATTTCTTACATCTAGTAATCATGTTTCTTCATCCTATATAATCTGTTTGGGTTTTTGTTTGTTTGTTTGTTTAAGTGGTATGTAATGAAATGAAATGAAAATGTATTTATAGCCCGCCTTATCTTCCCGAAGGGAATTAGGGCGGCTCACAACAAAGAGCAAACATTCAATGCCAACAGTAATATATAAGCAAATCAATAAACAAATCAAGAACTACTCAATAAATTACAAACCAACATAAATGAACAAGACGCAATGTAATCTACATAATTACTTTAATGGTATGTACTAATGGTTTATTGTAATTTATGATCCAAATTCAGTTGGCAGATCCATTGAATCAATAAACCTAACTTAAATTTACCAGTTTCTCACTGATTTAGTACATCTGCTCTATTTTTAACTAGCAAGTGGATAAACCCAAATAAGAATATAGTTGGGTTGTTGTAGGTTTTTCGGGCTATATGGCCATGTTTATATAGCCCAAAAAACCTAAAACAACCCAGTGATTCCAGCCATGAAAGCCTTCGACAATACAAAGAATATAGTTGATGGGAATATTTATTTCCTGCTCTTTTATTGAGGAGGGGTAGTAATATGTTAATGTAGAAATGGCAGTCCTCCACCTCCAAACTCCTCCAATGTCCATCATTTTACTTTAACATCAGAAGGTCTGCATGATTCCTATACTATGTTTGGGGTACGATATTGTCAGGTCTGGTGTCTGAAATGTACTTTATGTCTAAAGCTCATGAATACATTATAGGCTGGTGCCCTTAATTGTCCATAATTTTAACTGTAACAGGATGCCACAAATAGAGAGGCAGTTAGATTTTTTCCCCTAACATTGAGCAGTCTCAGTGCTTGAAATACCAGCAAAGAAACTGGGAGGATGTTTTCCTTTGGTCTTCAAATATTCTTTTAAATGACTCTCCCCTGTCCCTGTTCTCAGTTTAGATGAAAACACTGTGAGAGAAAATGAAAAGAGAGCAAACAAGAAAGCAAAGACAAAGACTGTTAAGCCATTTCTTTCAGAGTAAATAGTATAAATGAAATAAAGAACAATTCCTCTAACAATTCCATACCTAACTCTTGCGGCGCAGAAAAAATATATTTTGAACTTCCCTTTAAAAGTATAGTGGTGTAATTTAAAGTTCCATTTAAATGTTTAAATCTGTCCAATGTGCTTGACATGCTTTTTGTTCTCACTGCACATTTAACTTCCCATTCCTCTCCCCTTCTAAACCAGCTCTTGGTATTGGATATTAACCTCTATTGAGTTTTGAGTAGAAATTGAGTAGATTCATGCCTTTCTTTTCTGGAATTTCTAAATTGGTAACCAAAGAGGGCATTTTGCTAAAACACCAGGAAAAGGATTACTGGGTTTCTGTGAGTTTTCCAGGCTGTATGGCCATGTTCCAGAAGCATCCTTTTCTGACAATTCGCCCACATCTGTGGCTGGCATCGTCGGAGGTTAAGAGGTCTGTCGGAAACTAGGCAAGTGAGGTTTATATATCGGTGGAATGTCCAGGGTGGGAGAAAGAACTCTTCTCTGCTTCAGGCAAGTGTGAGTGTTGGAACTGGCCACCTTGATTAGTATTTAATGGCCTTGCAGCTTCAAAGTCTGGCCGGTTGCTGGATTGCTGTTTTGTATATATTTCAAACTTTCAATGAGCCCAAGAAAGCATGTTCATGAGTTGTCATTCCATGAATGATGTTTGGAACTAGTTCCTGAATCATTTGGTGTAGACTGAGACAGTAATTTCTGCTGGTCCTTTGAAGCCTTCTGTGCAAACCCTCACAAAGTTCTGGCCAATATTTAAGCACAGGTTTGTGTTGCATAAGAGGCTCCAGGGTAAAGGGGAATTTGGCAAAAAGCAGTCTTGAGAGCAGAGGATTTCACGCATGGTAACTAGGATGCAGATCCTGTTATTGCTTTTGTTGGTGTGTGCCTTGAAGTCATTTCTAACTAATGGCACCCCTAA